ACCCTAAAACCTGTACATGGGGGTTACTGTTTCACTCGGGAGACTTTGCTGAAATATTACTGTTTCAAAACATTAAAATATATCACAGCGGTGATATTGTCAGTGAAAGTGACTTTCATTTTTCACACATAAACGGCACTTTCACTGAGGATATCATTGTTGTGATACGTTTTACTGTTTTGAAACACTAATATTTGTGTTCAGTGAAGTCTCCAGAGTATAACAGTATCCCCCATGTACAGGTTTATAGTGTTTTTGAAAGTTACAGGGTCAAATATAAGGCTTGATTTTCCTTTTTTTCACATTGAAATTTGCCAGATTGGTTATGTTGCCTTTGAGAGCGTACGGTAGCCCAGGAATGAGAATTACCCCCATGATGGCATACCATTTTCAAAAGAAATGGAAATGGTGGAAATAAATTAAAGAAGACAACCAAACGTATTGCAAATGGGGTATGTTCAGACTTTTTTAGTAGCCACTTAGTCATAAACACTGGCCAAAATTAGCATTCATAATTGTTTTTTGCATTTTTAACACACATACAAATATAAATGCTAACTTTGGCCAGTGTTTGTGACTAAGTGGCTACTAAAAAGACTGGACATACCCTATATTGAATACCCTGGGTTGTCTACTTTAAAAAAAAAATGTACATGTGAGGTGTGATTCAGAGATTTATGACAGGTAACAGTGTTACAATGTCAATATTGGTAAATTTTTAAAATATATATTTTGAAACCGCAATGTCCTATAACCCTATAGCCCTATAACTTTCCAAAAAAAAAAGCTAAGAACATGTTAACATTGGGTATTTCTAAACTCAGGACAACTATAGCATGGGTGTTTTTTTGGCGGTTGTAGATGTGAAACAGATTTTGGGGGTCAAAGTTCAAAAAAGTGTGTTTTTTTTATTTTTTCATATTTTATAATTTTTTTCATAGTAAATTATAGGATATGATTAAAATAATGGTATCTTTAGAAAGACCATTTAATGTAGAGGAAAACAGTATATAATATGTGTGGGTACAGTAATTGAGTAAGAGGAAAATTACTGCTAAACACAAACACCGCAGAAATGTAAAAACAGCGGTAAGAAAATTGAAAAGCGATCTGGTCACTAAGGGGTTAATATTAATATATATATTTATTTTTTTCATAAAAGAGGTTTACGCACACTCATTACTCTTAGTCTTCCTTACTGCTTCAAGCACCTACTATCCTTTCACTGTCACTGTTTGCCTTTACGTTTTCCACTAGAAGGCTGTTCCAGGTGTCTATGGCTCTTTCTATTTTTCTCTGCTAGCCTTTTCAATTCCCACTGGTTGGCTGTTCCACGTATCTACTAGCCTTTCAGAGAAGTATCTCTGAGTGCGTCTCTGCTCTCCCTAATCACAGGATAACAGTCCGCTGACTGCTTGCAGTGACTCACAGATCCGTGAACTGAAAAAGAGCGCCATAATCAAAGTGAATTTTAAATAAAGTACCCCACATCCAAGACAAGCTCTGTCTCTTCTTCAAATGCTCTTAGCTTATAATAAATATTGGGCATCTTTGTTATAACGGACACAGACGGCGACTCACCATCTGGCGTGTCCTCCCTCTACAAATGTCTGTTTTTTTGTCAGATACAGATTTGAAGTAAAGTTAAATATGTGCACATTTCTCTGCTAGCAGACGCACAACAAACCTGCTCCTGCAATTCATAGTGGAAACATGAGATTATGTGTTGAGAGAATTTGACATAACACAGATATCCCAGACTGATACAGTGATGGCGAAATTTCAAATTTCTAAACCTTATTTTCCAGGATGTTCAGTTTGCCTTAAAAGGGGCAATCCAGGCACCCCCAAAACCTGGATGCATTTTTCTCACTTGTGGTGGATCTATTTAGATGTGTGCTTTGCATTTTCTTTTGTAAAGATTAAGCAGAAATGATTTATGATATTTTAACGTTATGAAGCCCTGAAAAAGTCACTACAAAGTCATGAATCACATAGGGTGGTGGTGAGCAGGGTCTGAAGACAATGGCGACCGGTATTGTTGGGGTGATATACTGTTTTATTAACTTTATCTAAAAGAGAAGTAATACATTATTATATCTTACGGTATATGATTATTCTGAATTATTCTGTCTGTATATTTTTTTTTATCCACAGGTTTATGTACTAACGTAAGAATTCTAAGTGAATTTCAAATTTAAGGACAGATCCACCTGGACTGAAAGCATAGTTGACGGAATTTGTCTAGTTTATCTATTTTGACTTTAAATTTGAAAATAATTTTGAATTATCACCCTAATATCTGCAGCGTTGGATCACTGACAAGTTGGGTGAAAACATTTTCAACACATTGAAGGATTAATCACCAATACTCTTACAAGGGATTTATTTTACAATGTTACACTACTGAAATAGTTTGAAGCCAATATGAACAAAAAGAAGATATAGGAAACTTAAAATAAAACCAGAGAAAAAGGAAATGGAGCTTGTAAAGCAGGCGTAACTTTGATTCTGGGGCAATTCATATAAATCGCTAATCTCTTACTTTGTACTTTTGTTCTCTATACGTGGATGGACAGATTATTCGGGACGGACAATCTAAGTACCCACCAACTGTGCATGTGGGGTTATATATTTTTCAGCATCCAACTTAGTCTTCGTGACGGACATATAAAACCTATATTATTATTATTAATTTATTATTTTTATAGCTCCAGCTAATTCTGTAGCGCTGTACAATGGGTGGACTAACAGACACGGAATTGTAACCAGACAACTGGAGACACAGGAACAGAGGTGTTAAGGGCCCTGCTCAATGAGCTTGCATGATAGAGGGAGTGGGGTATAGTGATACAAAAGGTATAAGTAGGGGTAATGGAATAGGTTTCTAGAAAAGTATTCACGGAGAACTTGGGTTATTTCTGACAGTTGCAGGAGAGGAGTCATTGGGGACAGGGCAGGGCCGGACTGGGGATTCCAAAGTAGCCCTGGAAAAAAAAATCTATGCCAGCCCCATAAGTCATTGCGCCATATATTGTCGCATGTAAAATGTAAGGCTATGTCTTGCCACCCTAGATGATTGATATATATATATATATATTGCTTTTTCCAATATAAAATATTGGTCCTTTCAGAGTAAATTTTTTAATTATACAGTAAGCATACTCACATGCAGACACAGACAATCTCACTGACACAAGCTGATTGATACACAGCCTCATAGACAAACAATCTCACTGATATACATAAGGTCATTGACATAAAAACACAAGCTCACTCAGTAGCAGGCACACACGCACACACAACTTAATGTAGTGGCTCTGGTGTCTATAGCCTGTCCCTGCAGGCTTTTCAATGTAAACACTGACTTTTTAGAGAAAAGGCAGTGTTTACATTGCTTCCTAGTGACAGACACTCAGACGGTCACTAGAGGTGCTTCCTGTGTCAGTGCGGATTGGCTGAGATCATCAAGCTTGACGATCTCAGCCGTAGAGGCAGGGTCAGTCGAGGGGAGACCAGCACGACGTGGGGGGGTAGGGGGAAGGTGAGTAAAAACATACATACACACACACATACCATGACCGACACACACCATGACACAGACAGACCGTGACACAGACACACACACCGTGACACAGACAGAAACAGACACACCATGACACAGACACACACCTTAAAAAAGACACACACACACCATAACATAGACAGACCGTGACACAGACACACACACGACACAGACAGACACACACCATGACACACAGACACACACACCACGACACAGAGAGACCGTGACACAGACACACATTACATGAAACAGACAGACACACACACACCATGACATACAGACACACACACACACCATAACACACAGACCATGACACAGACAGACCGTGACACAGACAGACACACATTACATGACACACACACACACACCATGACACAGACACACATTGCATGACACAGACAGACCATGACACAGACAGCCACACTTTACATGACAAACATACAATGACACAGACACACATTGCATGACAGAGACAGACGCACACACCATGACACAGACAGACACCATGACACAGACAGACACACACAATGACACAGACACACACACAATGACACAGACAGACACACACACACACCATGACACAGACACGCACACACACACACACACACACCATGACACACACACACACCATGACACAGACAGATACACACCATGACACAGACAGATACACACCATGACACAGACAGATACACACCATGACACAGACAGATACACAGCATGACACAGACAGACACACACACCATGACACAGACAGACACACACACCATGACACAGACAGACACACACACCATGACACAGACAGACACACACACACACACCATGACACAGACAGACACACACACACACCATGACACAGACAGACACACACACACCATGACAGCCCACCGGGAAATTTCCCGGTATCCCTGTGGGCCAGTCCGGCTCTGGGACAGGGGATGAAAACCAGTTTAATTGATATGCTTTCCTGAAGAAGTGAGTTTTCAATAATTTTTTGAAGGAGTGGAGACTGGGTTAAAGTCCAACAGAGAAGGGAAGGAAGTTCCACAGAAAATGCGCATCTCTGGAGAAGTCTTGGAGGCGAGCATCAGATGTGGGGTACAGCAGAGGATAGGCGTAGGTCTTCGGCAGAGCGTAGGGGCCTCTACGGGACATTTTTGTGTATTAGAGAGGAAAGGTAGTTTGGAGCAGCATTATGTAGGGACTTGTAAGAAAGCACCAGAATCTTAAATTGAGCCCAATATCTAACTGTAGGGACTGACAGAGGGGGGTGGCATAGGAGGTGCGGGCAGACAGGAAAATGAGCCTCCCTGCCGCATTCATTATAGATTGCAGCGGTGCAATCTGGGAAAACGTAAGACCATTGAGAAGAGGATTGCAGTAGTCAAGGCAAGAAAGAACAACGGAATGGACCAGCACCTTACCTGTGTCTGGTTTTAAATAAGGGCGAATGCGAACTATGTTTTTGAGATGGAAGCAGCAGGATTTGGCAATCAACTGGACATGAGGGGTGAGGGAAAGGTCGGAGTCAAAGAGAACACCTAGGCAGTGATCCTGTGAGGTAGAGGTGATGGGGGCACCATTGACAGACACAGGAGTAGCAACACATGAGGGAAGAAAGACCAGAAGTTCTGTTTTGGACAGGTTGAGTTTAAGGAAGTGAGCAGCCATCCAGTTGGAAATCGCGGAGAGGCAGTCAGAGACACGGGTCAAGATGGACAGAGAGAGATCAGAAGAGGACAGGTAGATTTGTGCGTCATCTGCATATAAATGATATTGGAAGCCAAAAGAGCTGATGAGTTTATCAAGGGAGGCGGTATAGATAGAGAACAGTAGGGGACCAAGGATAGAACCTATATATCTCCATTTACATTCCTCTAGAGCAGGAATCAGCGTACAAAAAATTAATCTGGGGAAAACAGAAACAAAAGATTTCAATACAAGTTTAGATGGACAACTAAGGGAGAACGGAACGGAGCTGCATATTTTAGACAGAAGTAGTGATCTCTTTTTTATAAGGTATCGCAACTGCTTTTGTTGGGTAGAGTTCCTCTCAAGACCATTAGATGTGTGCCGACTTAAATTAGTTGATGCCTTAAAACCTTGCTATAGGTAACCACAGCACAGAACACCAGCATAATTGTAAAGTTGCACAAACTGAATATTTTTTCTATTAATCGGAGTGCAATTATTATTAAGCTTTCTATACTCCAATAGATATCATTCAGTACATTAGGGAGCAAGCAAAAATGTCACAGAATGAATCATCTTCTTGTTGGTATTATCTTATCAAAAATATGAAATATAAAGGAGTTGATGGTGAATTCTTCTGATGCAGATAGGATTTCATTGCAATTCATTTATGATGAATCCTTAAAAGGGCAAGTTTCTCTCTGACGGCATTTGCCTATTTATAGAAAAGGTGACTCCAACTTTTTAAGGAAAAAGAAAAAAAGGCTTTCATTGTGTGTGGTTAATGAAAAACGCGAATTTCTACCAATATCAATACCCTTCTAGTTTCTACTAGTTTGCAAATCAAATCATTTTATTTCAGCATGACTTAAAGGAAGCAATTAATTTGGGTTTCCATAATGACTAGGTTTTAGATGCCATTTCAAGGTTATTTTGAGACAGTCCACCTATACTTCCAGGTTTAACCAAAGAGAAAAAAAATAAAAAATCAGTTTAGCAGAAAATGTTTAAATGAGAACTAGATTACTATTGATTATTGCTACCAATCATTCCTATTGCTAAAGCTTCATTCTGCTCTGCACGGCATGTCCTTTACACGCAAAAATGCAATAAAACTTACATAGGAACACTGGAAACCATACAAAACTAAATTTAATAGAGCATAATTAGATTTATAAAATGCATTTTCTCCCCTGCAGAGTATTACAGTATAGTCAGCGGATGTTCTTAGACCTAAGTGAATAAATTAGTTTCAACTACAATTACAGGGAGCAGCCTGCATGCTTTTGAAGCAGACAAGTAGTTTATTATTACACACTAGTTACTATTTAAACATTTTCTCGGCCATTCAGTGTACTTTTATGTTGCTATTGCATGTCCGTGTCAAAAGCAAAAAAAAAAATAAAAAAAAATGAAAGAGTTACTCCAACCAAACATGGGTGGATCTAGACTCTGGAAGGCCTTAGACAAAATTCAACCATGAGGCCCCACTAATAACCAAAATGAAAAAAATAAATAAGGATTGCATTGTGTGTGTATAAGGAGATGCAGTTATACTTCTAGTCTCTGTATTCATTGTTCAGAGGCTTGCAGTGTCACGGCTCCCTGTGCCACTGTGTTGTGAGCTCTCTGACTGTAGTTATGGCAAAGCTTGCAAACAAAATTAATTTGCATTAAACCAAAGTAATTTTGGGGTGGAGCCTGACCGTGCAAGTGAATGGCAGCTTAACTCTTGAGCTCTGCCAAGGCCTGACGCCACACAGGCCTGACGCCACACAGACCTGACGCCACACAGACTACACAAGATGGGCCAAAAACCCAATACCGAATGCTGGAAACGAAATGTGGAGAAACGGGCACGTACCTCCACTGTTGGTGGACATGCCCCAAACTCAAACAGCTTTGGACATAGGTACAGAGCCTCATCGAATAGGTGGTCGGAAAACCCATCTTAGCACAGCCATGGACAATGCTACTCAACAAACCACTGGACACCCTCACGAGACAGGAAAATAAACTGGTGGCCCACATAACCCTAGCTACACGTAGAGCAATCGCAGAACTGTGGGCAGATCAATGGACCAATCATCCGCAAAATAAGAGAAACACGCAACTTAGATGAACTAACAGCGCAAATACACGACTCGTACAAAGCGTTTCACCGGACATGGGAACTCTGGGATATAAATTACCAGAACTTGGGCATAACACTCCCACAGTAATACCCAACGATACAACCAGACCCACCTGAGGCACCTTCCTGACAATTCACCCCCCATCTCCAGACGAGCAGGGCCGGTTTAACATAGGGGCTGATGGAGCTGCAGCTCCAGGCCCAGGCCCACGGAATAGGCCCATTTACTTTTTTTTTTTTTTTTTACACACACTACTCTTAGGTTTGCCACTTGACTAATATTTTACCAGCACAGTCGGTATTTGAGGCTGCCTAGCCATGCTGGTATTGCAGTAATACCAGCAATACAAATGCAGATATTTTTCTCAGTATAAACTAGCACCAGCCAGTAGGGGGTCACTGTATGTGGAGAGAGGCAGGGATACTATCTACTCACTGATCCGCGGGGGAGGAGCTACACAGCACAGAGAGTTCAGACTTCAGCTCAGGGAAGTGAGGAATGAGGGGAAGGGCAGCAGGGAGACATGGGGACACTGAGACACTAGGGGACACTGAAAGACCTGGGGACACAGACACTAGGGGACACTGTGAGGTATGGGGACACTGAGATACATGGGGATGCTGTGAGATATAGGGACATTGGGAGACACATTGGGACACGGAGACACTGGGGACACAGTGTCTCCATGTCTCCCAATGTCCCCATGTGTCCCAGCCAGTGTCCCTAGTGTCTCAGTGTCCCCATGTCTCTCAGTGTCCCTAGTGTCTCAGTGTACCCATGGCTCCCAGTGTCCCCATGCCTCCCAGTGTTCACGTCTCCCAGCCAGTGCCCCTAGTGTCTCAGTGTCCCCATGGCTCCCAGTGTCAGTGTCCCCATGTCTCTCAGTGTCCCTAGTGTCTCAGTGTACCCATGGCTCTCAGTGTCCCCATGCCTCCCAGTGTTCACGTCTCCCAGCCAGTGCCCCTAGTGTCTCAGTGTCCCCATGGCTCCCAGTGTCTGTGTCCCCATGTCTCTCGGTGTCCCTAGTGTCTCAATGTCCCCATGGCTCCCAGTGTCCCCAAATGTCTGTGTCCCCATGTCCCCAGTGTTCACATGTCTCCCAGCCAGTGTCCCTAGTGTCTCAGTGTCCCCATGTCTCCCAGCCAGTGTCCCTAGTGTCTCAGTGTCCCCATGTCTCCCAGCCAGTGTCCCTAGTGTCTCAGTGTCCCCATGTCTCCCAGTGTCTGTGTTCCCATGTCTCTCAGTGTCCCTAGTGTCTTAGTATCCCCAAATGTATCAGTGTCCCCATGTATCCCAGTGTCTGTGTCCCCATGTCTCTGTGTCCCTAGTGTCTGTGTCCCCATTTCTCCCAGTGTCCCCAAATGTCTCAGTGTCCCCATGTCTCCCAGTGTCCCCATGTCTCACTGTATCCCCGTGTCTCTCAATGTCCCCTAGTATCCTAGTGACACGGGACACACTGAGACTGTGGGACACTGAGAGACTAGGGGACTGGGCAAAATGGGAACACTGACACTGTGATACATAGGGACACTGATGCCAGGCTGGCCTTCCGATTCTTTGGACAGACATGCCCCTTTTTTGGGCATGTTCACCCCTTTTCGCAGTTCTGGTCACGTGATTCGCATCAGTGGTCCACAACCCCGCCCATTGACTTTCTGCTTCACTGGACACTGCTGTTAGGGGGTATGGATTTACTTGAAAGATGAAAGCATAAATTACAGAGAGATTAGCATAGAGTATGTGTTTTCCTATAGCTGCATCCTTTGAGTTTCCCTCCAACACCATCTCCATCAGATACATGACGCTTGGGACGGTTTTAGTGTTTTTGGTCGATAAGATTATGTAATTAGGCCCATCATAACTGTCAGCACCAGGCCCAATGGGTTCTTAATCTGGCCCTGCAGACGAGGGGAACTTTAGCACAGACAGCTACCCAAACCCCGACACTACAGTCGTACAAATGACCGATGAACCCAAACAGAAGCGCCGTGAAAAGGCTCGACCGACCCGACCACAAATAACACAGCTCAAACGAGCCCTGAGACACACAATCCTTCCCATCCCCCCCACCCCCACCTGCCTCCCTCCTCTTCCCGACAGCCCAGCCCGAGACACAACTCAAACCGGAGGGTCCCTCGGCCCCTCCCCCCTCCTCCCATCCTAAATGCCCGGCCGGGGTGGACGCACGGACACAGGGTGGGACCCCCGACCACACACCACTCCTTCTGGCCCCTCAATGACTCAATGAGAGCATAAGAAACAGAGGGATGAGAAGAGGTAAAGAGGGAAGGAGATGCACACAAACCCACCCCCCCAACACCCAACCTGCACCAGCTTAAACATTAAACAGGGACACGAACGCAACAGCACAACCTAAACGATAACATGACACAACTGCTCACGAACAACACCGACACCCCCATCCAGAACAACAGCAACAAAGACTAGATAAAGACCAGTAAAGGAGAGGGCACCAAACCTAAAATATACCCACTGAAGACACCAAACACAGTCTCCCCTCACACCCTGACCATCCCCCTTCCTCCCCCACTTCATCGTTCACTCCCCAACAACCCTGAAGGATACCACCCCGAAACAGATAAGACAACATATAGGAACCCAGAAACACCGATACACAACAAACGAATCAGGAGAGCACCTTAGTCCCTAT